TTACTTCATACATTTCTGATCGCACACAGTTCATACAGCTAAAAACCCAGAAATCCGTTACCTTCCCCGTCTCCGCTGGAGTGCCCCAAGGCTCTGTATTGGGGCCTCTCCTTTTTATCATATACATCCTCCCTCTTGGTCACATCTTCCGTAAACATAACATTAAATTTCATTGTTACGCGGACGACACCCAGCTCTACCTCTCTTCTAAACCATCTTCTCTACTCCCACCAACCTCTCTTAACCTCTGTCTCCAAGAAATTCATTCTTGGTTTTCATCCAACTTTCTCAAACTGAACAGTTCAAAAACTGAAGTCCTCCTGGTGGGCACACCTCATACCCTCTCCAAAGCTAATAACGTTTCCATTACCATTGATAACTCAACTGTCCTCCCCTCCCCTCAGGTTAAGAGTCTGGGTGTCGTCCTTGACAGCACATTATCTTTCCACTCTCACATTAAATAACATCACCCTGTCATGTGGATGGAATGGGGAACCCAGGCGCAGACAGCAGATGATACAAACAGGGGTTTATTGAAGACAAAACAGAAAACAAAACCCACGATGGGGCAAAACAAGACAGGGGCAGAGTACGACTAAACTAAGACACGATGACAAACAAGATTCTGACTTGACAAGAAGCAAACTCTCAATTAATTGAACAGGTTTTCAGGTTAAATACTCACAGGGAAATACACGCAAAGTTAGACAATGTACCGACACAGGACAGCAAACACAAGGGGATTAAATAGGGAGACACTAATGACAAAGACAGGTGAAGCTGACTAGACAAAGACAGGTGAAACTGACTAGACAATAATGACGAGACGAGGATAACAAGGAGGCGGGGTAACGTAACGAGACAACACAAGCACATGGCCAAACAATTGGCCATGCGCTTGTACACAAAACATTGGTTCTGTCATGATCCTGCCACAAGACTAGGAATAATCAATAACATGATGGCAGAATCATGACACACCCGGTCAGCCTATTTCCACCTGCGCAACATTTCCCGCCTCCGTCCCTCTCTTACTCCCAAAACCACCGCCATCTTGGTTCACAGCCTCATCACATCCCGGTTAGATTACAGCAACTCACTCCTGTTTGGCCTTCCTAATAAGTCGCTCCAGAAGCTGCAGCTCCTACAGAACTCTGCTGCACGCCTGATCTCTCAGACCCCCATTTCTCATCATATCACTCCCATCCTGCAACAACTTCACTGGCTTCCTGTCAAACAGAGGATCATCTTTAAAATACTTCTCATTACTTTCAAAGCAGTTCATAACATGGCCCCTCCATATATTTCAGATCTTCTCCATTTAAACATCCCTACTCGTTCACTCCGATCCTCTCACACCTGCCAGCTTTCTGTTCCCCCTGCTCGTCTTGTCACAATGGGGAGCAGGGCGTTTAGTCGCTCTGCTCCCCATCTTTGGAATTCCCTCCCTCCAGATCTACGTACCATGGACTCATTTAATCTTTTCAAATCCAAACTCAAAACTCTGTTGTTTAGACATTCATATTCCGCCTGACCCATTTCACCTAAATGTTGTCTTGCCAATTTTATTGTTTACTGTTTTAATGGTTTTTATCTGCTTTGTACAGTGTCCTTGGGTGTCCTGATAAGGCGCTTTAAATAAAATTTATTATTATCCTCTAGTGCCAGTCTTCTGGCACATTATACAGTAAATCATAAGCGATCCGGTTGTACTTCTTTTAGCCACTATATGCTCCAAAAATGTTTAGTTTAATTGTCTACCAAATGAAGTGAAAGAGGCTACAAGCATTCATATTTTTATAAGACATTTCTTTTTAAAGTTTATAATTAATGGAAGAATATGGTGGAAGTTGAAAGTCTGTTTTTAATTTACCTTCTGATTCTCTTATAGTTGGCTTAATTTGCATACGTTTTATTTATATTATTTTATTTTGATATTGAGGTGAAACTGATATTAAAATTGAACAGTGAAACTGTTGTTTTTTAAATTGACATTGTGTGAAATTGTATTCATTATTTGTTTTTATGCTTGTGAAGCACTTTGAGTTGCATTACATGTATGAAAATTGAAAAGTGCTATACAAATAAATGTTTATTAGGGGTTCAAGCACGAAGTGCTGAAACCCTACTGTTCCCTTTCGAGAACGTCCACTTCGTATTGCGTAGCTATACGCAGTGGGGGAAACCCCCTTTCCTCGAAATTCTGAAGCTTAAAATGTAAAACGCATTTTGCAACTGGACAACTAGCACATTGAGTGACTGACTCACTCATTGGCTGTGCTGCGGCAACTGCACATCCAATGGCGCGGGCGGCTCCAACGTGTGTGCCAATGAGCTATCATTACGTCATACACGTCAGAGCCCGCCACAAGGGGCGTGGCCAGTGCCCATAAAAGCCCCTGAAATAGCCATTATAGCAGATTTCATCTCCTTCAGCGACATACTTCACGTCTCTGAGTCCTCTGAAAGCTTCGCCGTTGAATCAGGCCCTACGGTTAGAGCTCAAGCTGCACTCTCTGCCGGCGGTTGCTCGGTCTGCAAGGGCATGCCCGTCTCGGCGCTGCGGTCGTGGCTCGGTCTCATCCAATATGGCGACGCCGCTTCACCCACGCTTCCTTTCCCTGCCCTTCTACGGCCCAGGAAGAAGAAGCGCCGCAGCCAGCGTCAACCGGAGGGTAGGGAGGTTAACGATCCCACGCCAGCCACGTCCCCGCGTGCTTTGTTTTCCCCTACCCAGACACCGTCTCCGCTCCTGTTTGAGGGAGACCAGCACAGCATCATCCTTGCCGTCATTCATTTAAACAGGCTCTCGCTCTCACGAGACGGCCATTCAAAATGTTGACAATAAAACAAATCCTTGCGCTGTAGGGCTGTGACTGAGCTGGTTAAAGCATTGTTTATACTCGACGCGTCCGCATGGGCGCAAAGGTCTAGGGGACCTCAGCATCCCCTAGACACCATTTACTACACACAAATTAATAAATAATAATGAATAAAAATATTGTTTTTTTCCTCTGGTTTTGGAAACTCTTCGTGATCGACTTAAAATGCTTCCAAGATCGACTTTTTGACCGGTTGGTGACTCCTGTAACGTTACTGTTTTACGGTCAATGACAAGAGTACTAATCAGCTGATTGTCAAAGCCATAACACAGCGAGGGAGAAGAACAAAGTTACATGAAACAATCCAACTACATATTTTACACCACTGACAAGGGGAAAAGTCACTACTCACGGTGTCTATGGCTACCTTCTAGCTTTCTGCGGCTTCTCTTTCAAGGTAGGGATGTTCGCTGTCGGCTACGGTAGAAACATGACGTCACAATATGTCGATCTTCATAGAAGGGGGTACCCGCGGTTATGTAGATATAAATGTCTCATTATAAGGTAATAAAAACATAACGGTTCATTGAGTAAGGTCTTTATACACCATTGAACCCATAAGGGCCTAGTTATGGATCTTATATTGCATTTCTGTCAATAGATCCTCAGAAATACCACACATTGCACCTTTAAGTCTTAATATGTTTTCCTTCTGTTAAATCATACTGGGATGTTTGCTAAAATTGTTGGATCATGTAAACTCGCGCTCGATCGGCATCCGACCAGCACGGAAGGTCTTTACGTGTTACTGTCTTTTCTCATGGCAAAGTATTTTGATTAAATGCAATACATTTCCTCATATGTATTTTCTCGTTATTTCATCTGACTCCATAAATGAAAAGGTTTTAATGATATCCGTGCATCATTAAATGTGAGCGAATGTTAGACTATTCCTTTTAACTCTAATGAAAATAATGTCAAAGTCAGTTAGAATAATCAAATGTAACAATTTATTACGTCAGGTAAATGTATCATGCGAATTTCATGATCAATGCAAAGATAATCAATGCAAAACATCAAATGCACGACATTTAAGAAATACATGAAGCTGACTAGTCTCGAGAGACTCGGCCGCTCTCAGCCTCACGGGCTCATCTGAAATATAGAAAGCCCAGAGCCTCTTGCTAATTTCATTATATAGACAGAAACTTCTTTCACATGGAATTTGAAACATGTGCAAATAATGGGTATTTGCATTGAGGTTACACCTGGGGGTAGGAGACCGTGGTGTGGGGTAGTGTCTGTGTGTGTGTGTGTTGTGTGTGTAGGAGACCGTTTGTCAAGAGACCACATTCCTTTGTGTGCCAGATCTCTACTCTTAAAAACCTTATTACCTTTTGTTTGACTTTTTTGGGAATGAGACACTTGTAGTCACCCTGAGACATTTCGAATGATACTAAATATGTATAATACTCGATGATAATTATTCACATTAAAACATATAGATTCTTGTGTGAGTTGGGGGATCTCTGCAAAAGTGCAGGATGAGGGGAAGTAATGTAGATTAGGTGAGAGAGATAAGGTGAGACCTTCCACTCAATAGTGCTCGAGGGGGAGTTTCTAATGTTGATTTTCAGCAAGGTCCTTTGTCTACTTGAGGAGTGGTCGTTCCTCAACTAGTTTTTCCAGTGTTACATGTGGTACAGCCCTACCTAGAACATTTACTGACATTCAGTACTATATTTTACTGTAGCACTGTATAAGCACTGTTTGTACTGTATTTTATTTATTTTTCTAAACTGTTTTAATTATTCTTATTTCTTTTGATTATTTTAATTTCCTCTAAAGCACTTTGAATTACCATTGTGTATGAAATGTGCTAAACTTGTCTTGCCTTGACTTCACAATATCTTCCTGTGGGATTAGCAGAACAAAAAAAAAAACATTTTGGTTCCTTATACATTCTTGGGTGAACCATCCCTTTACAGTTTGAAACAGCATGATGAAAGGATGCCTCATTTGCTAAAATAATTTTTTTTTAGATCTTAAATGGTCTTGCTCCGCCAGTTTTTTAAGCAAAACAGGAGAATATTCATGTAAGCTCCGCCCAGTGTCACCGAATATCAGACACTGAATATTTCAGAACACCGTCCTTCAATGTAGGTGTGTGTGTGTAACAACCAGTAAACTGGACATTTCTTTTTATCACTTCCTCATAATTCACAGAGCGACAGCCAACGAGCCAGAGAGCAGGTAATGCAATCTTTCAGAAATGCTAGAATTGATACAAAATGCAATAGAGTTGCCTACTAATGCAATTAAAAAGGAGAGAGTAGCCTATATTCCACCGGTTTTAATGGAATTACATTGGTTACCAGTTCATCAAAGTATTGATTTAAAGTTTTTTTATTAGTTTATAAAACACTGCATAATCGGGCACCTTTATGCACTGTCGAGCACGCTCCAAATCGAAAGATCCTAGATAAATTAAAACGAGGGATTATCAGTTTAAAAGGTTGGACTCGATATATTGTTATTAAAGTATGGTATTTGGGGTAAACGGCGAAAGGCACATTAATTAACATGTTAATAAATAGCCGGCTGACTTTTCCATTGTTTAAAATAATAATTAATTAGTTGCAGCCCTGTTGCCTAATATTAAATGCAGATGAAAAATCTACCAATAAACGAAATAAAATTCTAAAATAATAATCTTACCAATATCTACATGTTTATGAAGTTCTTGTGCACTATGTGGATTTAGTGTATTTTAGCCGTGAGTTCCCAAATGTGCATAAAATCATTTAAAAACAGCAACTTTAAATGTTGAGTTTTCATTTTCAAGTTGTTATTAACATTACATTGAAGGAGCTCTTCTCTATTCACTGCTCATGATTATGCCTTTATTTGGCGCATTTAAAAATGTTTTTGTTCTGAAGTGTTTTTAACTCTTAAATAATTTTACTAACAATACTTTTTTGTATTTTACTAAATACATTTTTACTAAAAACGAAATAACATTTTGACGCTTTTATGCGTAAAATATGCATGTAAAATGGAGCACTTGTATTTGTTGTAGATTAAGAAAACATATGCATCACAAGATAAAACAAAGTTGTAGTAAATTACCACTGATTTCTATTATTTTGTCTCATGTTTTATTTTATTTTTTTTGACATTGATTAATAATAAAATCACATCTAAAACAATTACAAATTAACAAAATTACAATTGCTATGACCTCTGTAGTGGACACCAGGACTCGATTGTTTAAAAAATAAAAATGACATAAAATTATATGTAGGCAAAAATAATGGCAATATTTGAAAATCGATAATTATTATTATTATTATTTGTTTAAATTACATTGATATCTGAATTTATGTCAAAACCTAGACTTTCAAACAACAAAATGTAATTTATGAATATGTATTCCTGTACAAAATGACATATAAACATCGTTTCCTATTCTATTTTGCCTGGAAACGCTTCCAACACACTTGCGTGTCGCGTGAAAAATAGGCGTCGGTTCTATTTCTAGCATGCACGCGTTTTCCGCGCGGCTCATGCCGCGCCTGAGACGCGCGTGTCACGCAAGCAGTCTGCAAACATGGGAGCCGAAATAAAAACGGACACGCCACGCAGCTGAGACGCTTACCCCTCATTTACACTGCACACGTCTGCGGCGCATTACGGCTGCGACACGGTTTTATTCCGTCCTTCACACAGTGCCAACTCACACCAGGAGCATTTCAGACGCGGAGAGCCGCTTCTGGGAAGCTTCTGAAACGCGCCGCTTCGCGGCCGGTGTAAACACACGCATTGACTAGAATGGCCGCGATCAGCTCCGGTAGCCGTGTCGCAGCCGTAATGCGCCGCAGACGTGTGCAGTGTAAATGAGGGGTTACGCCACGCAGCCAGTGTGTCGTCTTTACATTGACGTCTTCATCGGCGTGTGCCTATTTACAACCACCATCTGTGACAAATGTATTAGCCGCCCTATATTGTTTTTCCGTTAAATAAATGCATAGCCTATAAATCTAAACTGTACAGTTTTCTACAGTATGTATATACAGACAAAAAATATACATCTTAAATGCCTTATAATACTTTTCATCAATGAAGTCAATGGATAAAATCGATTTCTGAAGCTTAATCCCTTAAAGAAGACATTCAGCTATTTCTGAAGTGAAAGCACATCAAAAAAGGTATGACAAAGATTTAGGCTACTGTAGTAGGCTAAATCAAATGTAGGCTATACTATACTAAATATTTTTTTCTTTTATATAAAATATATAGGCCTATTTCATAAAATATTTTTACTCTAAAATTACTAAAAAAACAAAGTCATATGTCTAAATAAGTTGTGTTCCAAATTTGTAGTTGATATCATATCACAATAAGTTCCTATGAGATTTTCCTTAGACGAACCAAAAATGGCCGCCGGCCGACATTCCATTGTAATATATGTCTGTCCAAATTTCACTTCTAAATAATATGAAACCTTGAGACTCAGACCTTTCCGACAATAGGCTATGTGTTTTGTCGAGATTGATTTTGATTATAAATTATGAAATATGACAATGCCCAATATGACCAGTTTAACAGGGGCACGTTCAAGTTCAAAACGGTGCGCAACGTTTTGCTTCGGTTTCCGGGTTGAACGTCATGTTTCCTGGAAACGGCGTGTACCTGCTATGGCGTGTACCGGTGTGCAACGGGGTTTGAGATACGTTTTCTCTTGTTTGGTGGGGGGGTGTCAGAAGTTCAGAACTGCAGTCCAATCAGCAGCAACATGTATATAAAGCGCGCGGTATTAAAATGAACTCGCACAATGGGTTCAATTAAGGAAAGTAATTTACAAATTTGTTCGACGCAGCTCGGTATACGCAACAACTGAGGATATTAGAAGACATGTTTGTCATTAGTTTCATTGTAAAAATATAGGATATCAACATAATGATGTAGTTGTTTATATTTTTAGCTTCATTCCAAGTGTATGACATTTCGTATAGAAATAAACAATGGTAATTAAGTGCTTTTCCTAAAAATGAGAAAGAAAATACAGGGTATTAAAACAGTATGAACTACAAATAAAGTCAGTAGCCTATGTGAGGCTAAACAGATGTGTTTTAATTAGGTAAGATGTGTGCTTCCATTTCAGTTTCCACAAATCCCTTCACTTGATTGGGATGTTCTGGGCGGCAAGTGCAGTAACTGTAACATCGGGCATAATTTGTAGTATTAAACACATATTTACCGACTTCAGGCTCCGAAAATTCTACACAAAGAACACAAAGAATGGCCTTTCTCAGCTGCCATAGTTGCAACTCTTGCGTCATCAGAACAGTGTGTTCAACGGATCACCGTTTCTGTTTACAAAACGTTGTGCAATGTTTTGTCAGGGCTGAACGCAGCCCAGGTCATATTGTAACGCAATGTCCAATTTCAAAACGTTTTTTTGAATTTTGAGTTTGTAAACTTTCGAATGATAGGCCTACCTAATTTATGATAATTACTAAAATATGTGATTTTTAAAAAAGGCGATTAAAAAATATATTTTATGGGATAGTAGGCCTAGGTCTATAGGCTATATCTACTTTTTAGAGGATAATATTATTTTATATTTTTTTATTGACAAATACTAGAATATATGTTTTATTATGAACCTTTAGGATGAAAACCAGTTTCAATGATTAAAAGTGTGTGCATCGACTGCATGAAGGTCAGAACTATGTTATAGATATTTTTTGAGGTGCACTCTTGTTATAGAATCCATGGGCGTCGGAACCATGGATAGGACAAGACACACCCACTTTTTAAGACCAATGATATTGGACCCAGACCCACCCACTTTCACCGTCTCTCAGCGCATATGTCTGTTCACTTTTCAGAGCGCCGTCAGTCAAATTCATTCCACTTGAGGAATGCCCTAATAAATTAAACTCCATTTCTGCTGAATCATTATATTTCTCACGACGAAAATAGCCGCCAGTTTTAGATAAGATAAGACAATGCCTTTATTCGTCTCACAAGTGAGAAATTTCAAGGAAAAATACAGCATGACATGAGGAGAGGTGAGGAGAGAAAAAAAAGGCAACCCCCAGACTATGCTCCTCAAGGAGTACAGTGTGGGAACAGGAAAAAAAACACCTCAGCAACATTAGCACACAATCAGTACACTTTACATGAACAAGACTTGCAACAGGGGTGAGGGGTGAGGGGTGGAGGTGGGGGATGCAGCCATTTAAGACTGGGGGTACAAAGCGACGAAGGCGAGGGATGGGGTATGGGACGGGTGATTGCATATCTGTATGTAAGAGTTCATGTGTGTGTGTAGGCCTGGCATCATAATCCAGGTGCCTCAGTCCGCAGGATTGTCATAGCGATACACAGTGAGTTGCCATGGAGACAACCTTGATCAGGTCCCAGACAGAGTCAACAATCACCAGGTGTTTGGGGTGTCGGGGAAGGAACGCAAGAGCGGCTCGCTGCAGTGCTCTTCCGGGGGAGTTGTTGTTCCAACAGCGGCCTTGGCCAAGGCCAGTGCTGGTTGAGGGCGGCCGAAAACAGATAAGATTGGGATTGTTTGGTTTTGGGGCGAGTAGCCATATTCCAATTTACACGGCTATTCTCATGGTCCATTTTGGTGTCCGGAACGATCCATTTGCCTTTGCAAAGCTGTGATCTTCTCCATGATGTTATTTTACCCTTCCAGTCAAATATTGCACTGCAAACAGTGTCCCGTGGTGGTCTTCACTATTTTTTTTCACGAGAGCCGCATTGATAGGACAAAGTCAGTAGAGCCATTTTTACCGCAAAGTATAAAAAGTTACATCCAGAAAAACATTCTTTATGATTTACCAGTCAAATTTGTATGAGACAAGATGATTTCCCTTAATGACAAAAAAAGCAGGATTTCCAAAATATAGTCATCACAAAATTACCTTAAGTTATTATTTTTTCCTACATTAGCCCATCATGTAGGCTATAACCATCCAAGAGCACATGCAGCGTTAAGAGCTGGAAAGTCCGACATAACTGGCAACTCCGCAGAGACTGGATATGTTTACATGCACAACTTTTGTTTCAATCGGACTGAATTCATTCCGATGAATCTGTATGTATTGTAGTTTATGCTAAACATCGTAATGTGATGCATGATCGGGTTGATGTGCGCGTTTTTAAGTCAAAATATTCAACTCGGAATAGTTTTTTTTACATGCGCACACATACAGAGTTTCCCGCTGTTG